GTTTGAGAAATCAGACCCTTCAAGAAACATTTTAGGCCCTGTGAATCGACTCTCAAATTGAATCTGATTGAATTATGTAAATTCCCTGTTTCTCAGTCGGTTCATTTGTAAAGATGAATCACCTGAGATCTGCCCCTTAGTTTGAAATATGGAGTGGAATATAAAGAGCCAGCCTTGGGGTAAAGTATATTAAAGCAATGATCCCCACTTGGTCCTCAAGTTTCCATCCATTCTGACTAGAATGAGCAATTACCATTCGCTTATGGATCAGTGAATGGTCAATTTAGCTGGAAGAGTTGACTGGTTGCGTCCTATGTCTACATGGCCATGTATTGTGGAATCTCTAAGGAACATTTGATACTAACTATATGAGGGACTGATGAGGATTCAGCTACCGTGGTTGGCATGCTATATTTGACTGTGCTTCATATTACTGGTTTCCAAAACAGGCCACATCAGAATCATCTGGGAACTTTTGTAAGCTGGGCTTATTCCAAGATATGAGCCAAAGGTTTGGGGTGAGAAATTAAGAGTTGTATTTTCAAGAGTTCCTTATTTCATACAGCTTTGCTTGCTGATGGGTCAGTGGTATAAACCAGGATCTTACTTCAGAACTCTACCGTAAACTTAGAGTCAGTTATTCTGCATCAGGTCTTTGACTATGATTCTACTGTAATCAACACCAAGAAAATGAGCTTTGTTGAGGATAAAATGTCTATTATAATAAACACATATATCTTCAATAGTCATCACAGTAAAAATAAATTTTCAGAAATACTGACATGATACAATAACGACATTCTAAAACAATAATGACATTCCCATTTCAACTGTTACATCTGCGTGGCAAAGCAGCCTAAGTGTGAGAGGCATAGTCACTTTGGTCCTTGATATCAATTCATCTGTGGCCTTGATTAATTGGGCCACAGAGTCTAGACAGGTCACGCAGCAAGCCAAAGTGCCCTAGTACCTGGGGTRTTCCCTCTGGGCTCTTCAGCCACATGGACACAGTCCCAACTCCCTTTGAAAACAAAAGGTCAGTTGTACATGTTGTGGAAGAAGCAGCAGCTAAACAGAAACTTTTGCCTGGTACATGCAAATAATTACAAGAAAAAAGGACCTAAGAATCCAGAATTACCCAGAAAATCGCTCATTTTATCATTCTGAAGATTCACCAAAATTGTTATTGTTGGTACAACTTCTTAGCATATTGAACTAAATATAATAATTCAAAGTCTGATGTTGAAATTACTTATAATAAGGAAAGCATTTCTGAGCTCAAGAGACCCCTGCTGCAAAGTAGACAGAAGGAAAAATGGGCAGCCATTCTCAGCCTTCGGCTTCTAAACTATGCATACCTGTTACTAAAACGAGGTTTTATTAAGACGAACAGAGTATTGAATTGGATTTCCATTGTCAACTGTGAACTATCAAAACTGAATTGTGATTCACCAAACAGTGATCACCAAGGGGTTCTTCTTTCATTTCAGGGGAGAAAGTGGGTGGTTACCAGTGCACAAATGTATCCTTTATTGCTCTACATGGAGAAATAATTTTCTTTTTTTTTTTTTTCCTTTGCAACCCTTCCAACTTACTTTTTGTGCCCTAAAGATTCCAGACCAAAATCATGGTCCCTTTGAGTTTATCTTTCTTTGATCCTGGTAAGTCCAAGATGAGATAAATTTCTCCAAATTATACAATCTTGGGCTGTCACTTAGCCTTTCTGTATCTCCATTTTCTCATCTGAAAAGTTGAGAATTGGGACTGGGGAAGCTTAGAGGCACTTATCTTTCCAGTGTCCTAGTACTCTGCTGTCTGATCCCTGATCTGCTGACCTCAGGGCAACAGTGCACTGCTGTCTGAGAGTGTCTAAAATTAAAGAAATGTTCTTCCATTCCTTGACTTCCCCACCAAATTAGATTTGTCTGGGGACTCACATTCATGTCTAACTGGTGACCTGTGCACAAGGAGACTGGTCCTTTGAATGTCCTTGCTGTAGCTCCACAGTCAGGTGCCTGACATCAGGGTCACACAGATGGCACAGTGGTCAYAGTAAGCACTGCTAGGCACACAGCACTTTCCCAATGATCAAGGATACTTAAGACAAGGACACAACAATGGAGGAACTACAGAAGTTAATCATCAAATATGGGATAGAAACTTTGGATGTGGGAGAAATTCTTGACACTACCTTTAACCCTGTCTCCTGGGATCTACATGTCTGTACACTGGGGGTCTAGCATCAAGCAAGCTGCCAAATGTTAGTTGTTTTTCTTTTCTCTTCTGCAACTTAATTGGTTATTTGTGTTGGTGTCATGGACAGAATTGGGAGCCTTATGGTGATATTTATTCCCATAGGTGAACGTGGGCTCTGCTCTAAGTATTCCAAAAAGGGGAACGTTGCTGACAAAAGAATGTCCTTACCCTAGAACCAACAAAATGAGGTCAATGCAAAAGCCAAGGGGTGTGGACCTATAGTGAGTCAAGTAAGAGGTAAATTACCCTGTGATAAATCTTCCCAGCTCAGTGCACTTGACTCCGCCAGCCTGGGAGCTATGGGAGAGCCAGCAAACTCTGGTTACTGACAGCTGCCTTTCTAATCAGGACACACAGGAGCCACCATGTCTTTTGGTTTAGATGGTGGCTATATAGGTTTAATCTTTGAAACAATCTTTAAAAACAAAGAGATCTTGTACGATTCACTAGAGGCTGCTTTTCTCAGTGTTGGAACTGCAGGTCAAGGGCATAACCAACAATACAACAATAGGAAAGGCTGCTATACGTTGAGCACTTACTATGCACTGAAAATTGGGATAAATGCTTTACCCACATATTGCATCTAATTTTTTTGAATAGGAGGGGAATGTGAACTACAAATGAAAAAATTATGAAGTCTGAGTATTGTGGATAACCAAACAGGAGGGCTTAGAATTTTCTTCACAAGATTTTTCTTAATAAAGGGGAATGTGGTCTTTAGGGATCACCTTCAAGAAATCCTGTCTAGAATTAGGGATGACCTCTAAGTCGTTCTGGTTCTGGAGATAAGTCCATTTCCCCTCTCTTTTGAGTTCCTGTTAAATACAGCTGAAATGATGGTGGGGGAAGGAGAAGGTACTGTCACTCCTAAGATGGAAAAAGCATTCAGTGAGATCAAACAACAACAACAACAAACCTCTCAGAACTTAAAAAACAAACAAAGCTTTACATTGAGATGAAATCAAATTTAAATAGTCTGCCTTGGAACAATGAACTGTTTTTAGGGATTCTGTTTGTTGTTGTTGTTTCTTCAATCTGCATGGTTCAAAATGTCTATGTATTTATATTTAGTAAAAACTAATAGGTACATTGGGATTGAAACTCCAGAGTCAGAACCTGGCTCGAGGAATATGGGCATTAAATCACTCAGCTGTAACCAACTGAACTAAGTGCTCAGGAACAGCCAACTACGCATTTCTGTCAGTTATCAATCTCTCCGTGATTCCAACCCAGCGCAGCCTGAGAACAGCAGGATTGTCTTCTTTAAAGTGACAGGGAACATACCACTGAACTTCAGAATGTTTTAAATATCTTCCCTCATAGTTTCTTCATATATGGAATTGTTTTAGTTTCCTGTTTCAAAACTTCTATTCCTACTTCTTCCCATTTATGTTGATGACGACCATACATGATAAGTCATGTCACAGCAGGTACCGTGTTTGAACTGGAATRTTTTTCTTTCACTTTTTCTTTAACCTCTGGATCTATCCGGCTGCTCTGAATAGATCCCTGAAGCTTTAGGACCATGCAGAACATGAACATAAGGATTATGTCTTTCCTTATTGTATTTGGCTTAATTTTAGGCATGATCTTACTTTCCCAAAGAGGGGTAGTGAACTGACAACTGAATACAGCAATGATTTTTCATGGGATTTGTGACATTGCAAGCAATCTAGATGAGATTTCTGGAAAAAATAAACTCTCCCACTCAAACATATAACAAATGTGCTTGACTGGCATTTGGAAAGAAACTTATTAAAATTTAACATCAACTTGGCCAGACTTTGGGCTGAACTGGAAGAACAAAGTGCTGCTCAGTAAGAAGCCAGGGGTGGGGGTGATATGATTTCTACTCCTAAGGCTGAAATAATGAAAAGGAGAATGGCCAACTAATTCCTCCATGGCAAGCCTACATAATCTCAAATTCCAAGGACTATTTAGTACTAAGACTCGCCACTGCACAATGGCTTTCTCTTTTGAAATACTTAACTTATAGGCATGTAGAACTGATTTCAGGGGAACTAGGGAATATTCAGTGTCTAAAAGTGTCTCAAAGCAAACAAACAGCAGGTCCCTGAAATGCTCTCACCTTACCATTATCCACAGGGGGTGGCCTGGCTGACCTCCAGCCTTCCTCTCTAGCCCTGCTGGTTCTCAAAGGCTCCAGATGTGCAACATGGTTACCCCATCATGGTGTAGACAGGACAACATAGCAACTTCTAAACAGTCTTTTTCTTCCTTCAGTGTCCCAGGCTCTTCAACTGACTCAATTGCCTCTGTATGTTGAGAGGATGGTTTGGGACTATGGGAAACACCAGGCCTAGGCTGCAATGCCCTTGCAGATGTGGCAATATTGTTATTATCTGCCATAATCACATCCATGCCAAGAGATGCAATGCCACCCACACCATAGGCTTTCTCTGTGATAGTGAAAGATGACCTGCATTATACGCCACTCACCCCAGAGAGACCACCCTGCTGCAGAATGACCATATGGATGAGTGAGGACTTCATAAGATGCATTTCTTATAAAAATAGTCATGAGGGGATTCATCATGATTTTTCTCGGTTTGTCATGAAACATCAAAGTTACCCAGAACCTTGAACACATCAAGTACAGATGCAACACACACAAGCAAAGCTAATTCAATAGGATTCCTAGCAAATTATTAAACTCCRTGGTTGTGGGGCAGGGGAATGGTTTCAGGGAGAGAGAGAGACATGACAGGGGGTGGGGGAGCAACAGGGAGCGAGGGGGAGAAGGAGGGGAAGGGGAAGGGAGCCAGAGAGGGAGATATGCAAACCAATTTTTTGTTTCCATTTTGAAGAGTCTGATCCCACCAGCAAAACAGATTCTGCCCCAATTGGCCTGAGGCCTCTGATTACAAGGACTGTATCTGAGCAGAGCTGCAGAAACTATAGCTCTAGTCCTCATCAACATGGGAGGCAGTTTATTATTAAAATACAAACATGAAAATACTTCACACCATTCTGTTAGCAGCATACTTCCAAATGCAACATTCCCTTTATCAACTGAGCTTAAATTATGTGGCTTCAATGCATCTGTCCTGCCAAGTCTGCTAAGACCATTCAAAGAGCAATGCAAAAGGGGGAGCAGACACCTTTCCTTTTAAGTGGCAGACGAGCCTTGTAAGTCTCTGGGGTTCTACTCTGAAGACTATTCAATTTGATTTGGGGCACTTTTTAAACAGCCATTTGGCACTTTCCATTCCGAGTTCTTAGGCACAGTGTGACAGAGTCAGCTTGGTGAGCCCTTCCCCATGCATTCGATATAGCAGCTGAAACTCAGCAGGCAGCTGGTGGGACTCCTGCCACTTGGTGGTAAATTTGGTTCCTTTTTTGTCATAGTAATGGTACGGAAGATCTTCCCTTGTGTTGGGATCAAATCCAAAAGGCCAAAATCCATACAAGTGGATCTCTTCACATATTGCTGACGCAAGGGTGTACATAAGAATACCTGTGCTCAATCGTTTGGGCGACAAGTGTTTGTTTTTCCAGTACCTGCAGAACAATAAGTACACGTGGATTCAGAGGCCAGTGTCAAGGCTTCAATCTGATGGGTCAGTCGTACTGGGCTGGGAGTTGGATTTGTTTAGACAGTTTAAGTTACATGGATAAATCCACCTCCCAGCCCAGTCACCCTGGCCTTCCCCCTTCCAATTGAAATTTAAAATTCACTAAAATTAAACATGAGGGGAGCCAAAGGATGAGTTTATAAAGAGACAGTCTGGCAGAAGACCTGGCTTCTAGTTCTACATTTTGGAAGTGATTGTGATGTTAGGTAAATAGTTCTTGCCCTTTATATTTCAGTTGGTTCATCTTTGAACCTGAGAGTTGGGCTCTATTATCTCTGAACATACATCCTGGTAAATAGGGATTGCCCAAGTCTATGTCTGTTATAGTTGTTGTAATTATTAATAGGACCCCCTTTCTCTCCAAGGAAAAGTTCTGGTTTGGACTATTAATTATGGAATAACCCTACCTTTCAGAGATGCACCTATTTATTAGACATATCAGCTTATTAGAATCCTTTTTCAATGAGAGGTTAACTAGAGATCTTAAATTTGGAAGACTTTAGGGGCTATAGGTTAAGAATAATCTGTTACAGAATGAAAATCCTTAAGATTCCCTGGTTACCAGATTTTTCCAGAACTCCACTCTAATTTGTAGTAATATTTGGTGCTCTGTTGGGACACTTTGTCTTCTTATATAGGGGGAATCAGCATTAGGTAATTTGCTCAGATGATTTAAAAGGAAAAAGAATCCAACAATTAATCTTGCTTTCTAACATACCCTGGATTAGTGGCTCTCAATTCCAACTGCATATTTGAATCATCTGGAGAATTACTACAAAACCCCAAATGCCTGGTCCCTTTMTCCCTTTCCACCAGAAAAAATTATATTAGATGCTCTTGGGGTAGAGCCCAGATAACAGTATTTTTAAAAGCTCTTCAAGTAATTCTTATGTACAACCAGTACTGAAAACCACCAGGTTATAGGAAAATACAGCTGCTCTGGCTAGTCCATCAAACATAAGAGATAACAAGGAGCTCATAAAATATTTTTCACAGGTTTTTATATTCCAATATCAAATTATAAAGGCAGATAATACAATTTGAGATTTATTTAGGTGGTTTGCTGGCCTTGGACATCTACAAAAATATCTAAACTATCTAAACATCAAACAAAAGGGGCAATTTTGAGCCATCTACACCTTCTTTAAAAATCATTTGCTTTGTGTACTTTAGCCAGTGGTAAATTCTTGATTCCTGGTGTTTTCCATGACTTCTCAGTAAGCTTCCCACCAAGAGGGGAAAAGGGAACAGAGGAGGGAGACTGATGAAACACCAATCTCTCCATTTGACACTGGCTACCAGCTGGAGGGTAGACGGAACTTTTTAACTGGAATGATTCATTCATTGATTAAGAAAGAGAAGAGTTTTCCCTAAAGTACTAAAACAACTAAGGATGACTCCCACCCCCAAGAGGTTACAGTATTGATTTGCCATCTGGTGGGGTAAGAGTTAAATGCAATAAAATATACACACCTGTTGACATGCTGCATTATATTTCCAGGCCAAGCCAATTGGACCTTTAACTGACCTCTGTGTTCAACAAAAAAGTCAACTAACGTTCTGGTAACAGTTGCTGAAGTATGGAAGAAAAACGCAGGGATCCAAAGAATGGCCCCATCAAGCTTTTTTAAACTGAGGAAAAAGTTGTTACGGTCCTGTATGGTCAAAAGATTGTTGTAATATTTTTCCAGGATGCTGGGGTTGAAGGTGGTAAGGTTGGTTTTCCTTCCAACATCTCTCTGGAAAGCCTCCGTAGGGGCGAAATTGCAACGAAAAACAAAATCTGATTTATCTATTTCTTGTCCACACTGGCTCCCTGTCAGGATCCCACTATTTCCAACCACAGCACAAATATTATAATGCTTATTCAGAATGGGTGACACTTCTGGAAGCAGTGACCGGAAGTTATTGCTAATAGAGAAAACATATTTATGGCTGGAATAATCATAGTGCATCAGTTGTCCGATCCGAACACTATTCTTGGTCAAAGAAAAATTTTTTATTACATCGACATGCTGCAGAATTTCTTGCCTAAAATAAAAAGAAATTCATTAAATGCATTCCATTCAAAAGAACCGAGTTTCCATCTTATGTCTTATGCTGCCATTTCATTCAGACAAGAATCTCAAGTACATTGAATTCAAGGGTTACACATTCATAATTGTGGTCTTTGAAGGGAGGGCTGCGTCAGAATGTATAGGAATGTTGCAATCTTTCAGTCAGGTTTGGAATGTAATCCTCTGAGGTTTGTAAATGCAACTTGCAGTTTTAGCTGCAAGTTCTTGGTTTTCTGATCTACTTGAGGAATGTTATTTGACCAGGAAGGAGGCGTATGCCAAACTGTGTTAGAATATACAGGGAGACAATTTACACAGGCCCCAAAGAGCTTACATTAGTGCACAAACATTGGTGACTTAAGAGTTTGTAACTAGGGACTACTTGTTTGCTATTGGACTGCAATGTTTAAGAATATCAAATATCACTGGTGTCCAAATAAAAGCCAAAGAGATATGAGTCAGTACAACACTATCTATTATTAAAATATGAAAATGGGAGTAGCAGTGGATGTAGTTGAATATTTAATAGAAATGAGATGATAATCTCATTAAGACCCCTTGAATAATGAAACAGGATATTTTCCTGCTTGATTATGTAAAAACAGAATTTAGTGGGATATATCAATTCCTTAGAAACAGAGTCTAATGTAACACTGAAAATATATGTATATTTGAAGAATAAGGAGCTTAAGACAGGAGTGAAACATAAAATGAACTTCAGGTTGATTTCCTATTAATCTTTAAGTAAACTTGTTTCCTTTTAAATGCAAACCCATTAAAATATTTAAGGGACCAGTAATGCTTTACTTTGCTGCTAGATTTTCCAGTGCTAAGAAATTACACTGAAAATCCAGTCTTTTTGTTTAAAAATATCAGGAATGAAATGAAATGTTTTGAAACTTGCTTGGACTTTTATTTTTAAAAAACGACTTCATTATTCAAAGTATAGAGCAACATAACTGACATCTCCAATCCAAAATTTCCGAAGTGATCAGTACTGTTTTACTGATTATAAAGCAGTTATAAAGGCAAGGAAAGTTTAAAATGATGCTGGTAAAAATTAAAGGTTACCTAATAAGTGGATTGAAAGGAGGGAAGTTTTAAAAAAGAAATGCCCTTCTGATTGGTCATCAGGGTCACATGACCTAGTGGGTTAGGAATGTTTTTATTGAGTAAGATATGTGTTTTGGGAAAAGGTATATAATGTGTTCTATCCTTGAAAATTTTGGGGGTTATTTATAAAATGAATATTGGATTAAAACCCCAAAAGTTTTTAAAAAGCACCCCAAAAGTTTTACAAAACCACTTAAGGGGGTTTTAATATTACTCAAATTTCCTGAACTAATTTTGGATTAAACATAAATATTTAAAAATATGTAATAATAGTCATATGGTTATATGTCAATTTTTTTGAATAAACATTTTCCTGACACCATGAATATTTACTGGATATGTTTTAATTTTGCCAGTAGATTACACATTTTTAAAAAGAGCAGTAACTAAAAATGGTATGATCAAAACAACTCCCTAAACAGACTAGTCTGTAAAAATAAGAATTCACACCCTTCATGAATACACTAGATGGCTCACATTGCATCCAGCAGCATGATAATCCCACCAAAAGGAAGAAGCAATGACTTATGTGTGTTTCTAAGAGAAGACCAGAATCCCTGAGAATAAGTAAATTTGAGTAAATCTCATTCCCTCATCCCATGTAAAACAACAACAAAAAACTTTTTCATAAAATGAGGCTGCATCAATTAATAAGAATGATCTTAGACAGCTTTATAGTAAGTTAAAAGCTGTAAAAACTTAATGAAAACAACTAGGCAAAATCACAACAGTCCTAAATACCTGCTTATATTTGGGCCCACCTCCTCATCTGGAATTTGATGGAGATGGATTATGCTATTTCCCGTGTGTCTCAATGAAATAATACAATTTTACTTTATTTTTCATTTTTCCCCCCAAATGAGGGAATGAAAATGCACTGGGCAGTCTTGAAATTAACTACGGGGCTTTCTTCTTCTTCTTCTTTATTTTTTTTAATGGCTGTCTGGCTTTGGTAATCCTAGCCAGACTTGTTAACTGCAAGTCATGGTGTTCTTTCAAGCCCAAGTGAGGGAGGATATTGGAAATACGTATTTTTTTCCCTATTCGAATTGGTCATTCTGGTGTTTCCTACTTAGAGAGGGCACTACACTCACCGGAGAGGGTTACCAATAATGATTGTGCAGTTAGGCCAGGAAGACAGGGCAAATCCACTGGGGGTGGGGGAGAGGGGGAAGGCAGGTTTTTCTTGTTTGGGATTTGGATTTGTTTTTGTTTTGTTCTTGGAGCCTCGGAATTCAAAAGCACCTTTTAGATGGGTTCTTCCTCTCCTACCTTTGATGTAAAAACGCTGTCCGATTAAAGGTCCACTTAGAAGGTTTCTCTTGGAGCTCCTGGGTGAGAGAATTCGTAATGGGCACAAAGGACGGGTCTAGAAACTTCAGCGCAAACTGTGACCTGGAGAGGAGCATGAGTACAGACAAACGTGCTGGCCTCGGCTCGGGAAGCCTAGGTAGCCATTAAAGTCCAGCCAGCTGGGGCGGGGGCAGCTGGAGCGCGCAGCGCATCCTTCTCACCCCGGAGCCCCTCTCATTTGTTCCACCCTCTGCGACTAGACACACCGGGTGGAAGGAAGGAAAACTAGGGAAACCCCTCTCCATTGTCCATCCCTCCGGGTGCGGGAGAGACCATAAAATGGCCGTCACGCAGTGAGCAGGGGCGGGAGCCGGCAGCAGGGCTGCAGCCGGCAGCGTGGCCAGGACCAGGGAGTCAGCACCGCGGACAGCGGCCGCGCCGCTGCCAGTGCGACCCGCGACGCCCCCGCGGCCCGAAGGAATTGATTTTTGGAGACGGGGCCGAGGAACTGGAGACTCGGGGGAAGAGTGCGGGAGGGGCTCCTGCCTTAACCTCTTCCTTCCCGAGCCTGTGTGTGATTTCACCGCCCACCCGGGACTGGGGACCCCCGGAGGCCGCCGCCAGCTCGGCTCCTGTGCCCAGGCGCGGCTTCTCTAGGCTCGCACCTCTGGCCCGGCTCGGACCACAGGTTGCAGCAGCCCGTCAGGAGGCCCTGCTGGCGAGCTCCTGGGCACAGGTAGGGGCGGGGGCTCTCCGAGAATCGTGGGGAGCAGCGCTGGCGGCGACTTCGACCCAGGCGAGGGTAGGCGGCCCTTAGGAGGCCCGTGTCCCACAGGGGCGGGAGAACTGCAGAAATCGCCCAGAGAGGAGGGCGGCAGTGAGGGGAAAGGGCCRAGGGAGAAAGCCCTAGGGGCTTCGACAGAACAGACCCGCGCATCCTTTGATGGGGAGGAGGGAGGAGAGGAGGCGAGTGCGAGGAGAGTCGGCGCCTGCGCCATTACCTCGCCCGCACCGCCGGGAGCCCAGCCCGCGGAGTCTGCGGACCGCGAGCTGGGAGGGCGCTCACCTCGCGCCTGTCCATCTCGCGGATCACTCCCCCCCGMCCCCCGGACGCCGTCTCTCCCTCCACCATCTTTCTCCTTAACACCCCACCCCCCCATTTCTGAAATGGGGGAAGGGATGCCGAGGAAGAATACAAGGAATGCAATAATATCGATCAGGATTACGAGTTTTAGGGGCTTTGGGTTAAAAAAATAAAAGGGAGAAGGAACAGAGAATCCGAGAGGGGAGTGGAGGACCACTCAGTTGGCTTGCCCAAAGTGTCTCAGATGAGCCCCAACACCCCTCTCTGACCTTACCCCGACACACCGTAAACTAGACAGATAGCCCAGGGCGCTCAGGTAGAGGCCCGCACTCACCGGAATCCCGCGTGGAACATGTACATTCGGGGCGCCCCCGGGCTGGCGTACTTGGGAGTGGTGAAGATGTTCTCCTTTTTCAGGGACACGTAGCTGATGAGCGATAAAATCAGGAGGGCGACGCTGAGCATGACCAGCCCCAGCACACTGGCGACCCGGGCCATTTTGCAATTTCTCATCCCGTGCAGGGCTGGGATCAGGGAAACCAGGGAAATCGGTCCATTGAGCGGCCAGCAGCTCGCTGGCGTGTCAGTGAGTGTGTGTGTATGTGTGTGTGTATGTGCGTGCGTGCGCGTGTATGTGTGTGTGTGCTCTCGGGCGCGTGTGAGCGTGTGTGGCGGGGGAGGGGGAACCCGGGCAGCCGAGCAGCAGAAGGCCGGGGGTGGGGGCGGGCGTGAGACGCTGGAGTAGCGGGACCCCCAGGGCCGGAGCCAGCGGGGCCCAAGCTGAGCAGGAAGATGGAGGGGCTGCGCGGTGGCGTGGCGATGGAGCGCGCCGCGCTGTGCGTCTCTGGCCGCCGGCTCAGGCTCCCCCGCGCGTTTCCAGCGAGGCTGCCATCTCCACCGCCGCCTGCAAGATAAATGTGATTGGAATAATGTTACAGTTCGATCTAAGCACAGGATTTAATTAATGAACTCTAATCTCCCAAATAACGGGGGGGGGGGAGGTGCAGGAGAGGGAGGGAAGAAGGGGAGGTGGTGGAGGGAGGGATGTGAGGCTAGAAGGCTTCAGCCCACGCCTACCGGCCTCCCTGACTGAGGGTATCCATGAGGAGGTCGTGGTAAGGAGACAGACACCCAAAGTTTAGTGTAATGGACCATTCATTACTTTAAAAAATATATCATGGAACAAGGGGGTAAATAACTGAATTTGCTATTCGGAGGATAAATACCAGCTGGTTGCTTTTCAGAAATGCAGGAAGAACGTTTTTTAGGATGACAAATGTTTAAAAGCTTTTCTTAACCACCCTCAGCCCCATTGACCAGCACCTGCCAAGGCACCTCAGTAAGGAAGTCCCAACAGCAGCTGGGCTGGTCTGCTTTGGTAGCAGTTAAAACCCTGAAATTTTCTAGAATGTCTCCTTGATCCCCTTTCTATGCCCACCACATAACTTATCTCTAAAAGGTGGATACTGCCTAGCAAGTTGTGAGGTGAGTGTGGTGTAGAGGCCTGGCTCCCTCTCTTCTGTCCCATGCACCCAGAAGGTGAACAAGCTTGTCTGAGTTGACCAGATCTGGATCATTAGCCCTGATTGAAGGATACATTGCACCTCTTTCATACCCACCCCTATGATCCATCTCCTGGCTTTGCTGGGTGGTCTGACGAAGCTGAGGACATTATAAATGCACAAGATTTCTTTTTCAGGATCCCAAGAAACAGGTTAAAGAGGCTACCTCTCAGGGTGGTAGGAAAACTCACTTACAATTTGTATTGCTTGACCTTAAATTTATTTTAGCGTATTAATTCATATGTTATCTTTTTAATATTCATTGAAAATACAGATTAATCCATTTTTAGTCACATTGGGTGGTGAGGAGTAGCTCACATCATGTATTTTAGCTCTGCCCCTTGCAACTGGTATGGCTTCTTCGACCCTATTTACCCTTGGCTTGGTCCTCAAATTTTCATCAGTAAGCACTAATGAAAGAAGCTGGAGGTGAGAAGTTGGCCTTCAAGAGCCTTTTCCCAATAAATAAGAAGAGATATTTTCAAGAGAGTTAGGATTTCTTTCTCTCCTGAAAGTCTTGCCTTATGGACTTGGGTGGGCTTACGTTACTATGTTTTGTCAGGGGACTGTAAATTCTCCAAAAGGGTAAGCTCCTAGGCTGTAAGCTCCTGCAGAGCAGGGACCATGTCTTCTTGGCCAGTACTGACTCATATAGAGGGCATGTTTCCTACATGTTTGTGGACCAGATGAGCTTCCTTGTGAAGCATATCTGCTTGGTTGTAGACAGTGAGTGGCAAGCAGACTGCTTCTATTTCCAGTGACAAAGGGGGTCACTTAATACCCATTAAAGATATTTATGTCAAAATAAAAATGTGGGTCAGGAGGACACAGATAATCTTCTTTTCCCTGTGGGGCTTTTTCATTATTTAAAACATTTTTGAAAAGTGCATGCCTCAATGATGAGTACTTGAGTGGAATTTTTAAAGTAGCTACCATGTTTTTTGTTAGAAGATCACATGAGTATAAATGTCTAAAGGAGTAAGATCGTATAAGAGTTATCTAGGAATTAAAAATGTTGGAGGAAAAAAAAGGTCAAGGTAACATGCCACGGGGATTCAGCCAAGGTAGTGGCTCTACTGTCAGGCTCTGGAGCTAGGCAGACCTTACCTAAATGCTGCCTCTGGCACCTATGAGTTACGTGACCTTGGGTGAGCTCTCAACTTTTCTGTTTTTGGCTTCTCATTTATAGAACCAGGATAAAAAAAATCTCAGAATTTGGAGTGAGATTAAATACCCTGGCCTGTGACCCCCTTCTATAAAACACACCAAGGAAAAACATACTTGGGTGAAATATTTTCCTACAAAGAATGGTGAAGATTAAGATCAAGTTCAGTTTCCTTTAAAAAACAGTGTTCTGGGCTTCCCTGGGATCTATAATATGAATTCGCTGTACCTAGATTTTAAAAAATTGATATGCTACTTCTACTTAGCACACCTCTGTGCACCTTTTAAAGGAAGTTCTAGTAGGATGATTCCTATATTGCATATGATTCATTGAAGGTCACATGATATAAAGGAACCAAATTAGCCAGAAAATAAACAGGTAGGCAGGAATTCTTATTACATGTACCAGGCTGATCTGTGATTGCTCAGTAATTACCAGGGGGATAATCCTGATGGTAGTACTTCAAAGAGTAACTGGAGCTGCTGGATAAGGGGTTTTCCAGACCTGGGATTAAAGCTATTTAATAAACTAAAAAATAATTAGGATCCTTTTACAAAATACCACTTATCAAATTTTACTAGCATCAGCCCTGTGTGTAAGTATAGGAGGGCAAAAAAAAAAAAAAAAAAAAAACCCAAACAAACAAACAAAAAAAAAAACACCCAGCAATGAAAATTCCCTTGGCTTTAATATTTTCTAGAGGATTTGTTATTTTGGACACAGTATTAACTTTCCCTTGCCCACCCCTATGAGTGCCCACTTTTTGCAAGATGCTCTGGTATTCTGTGTCCCTTCACCAACCCATACCTACCAAGAACAATTTCCAGGTACATTGGGGTCTGAAGGCCAGGAAAGTTGGTGTCTTTTATTAGAAACAACATTGTTCGTTCTTTTATTCATTCGTCTCTATTTTCTTTCATAAATCCACTAAATAAAATGTGCTGATTATCAAAAACTACAATAGGCATACTGGGGGGTTATAAAGTCACCTTTGACCTCATGATCTTGTGGGGGAGAAGAATATAAACAACAGAAGACTGATGAAAGAACTAAACAATGACCTCTGTCAGCACAAGATCAGTGGAATTCTTCAGGGGGCAACATTTGGGTTAGGTCTTAAAGCATAAACAGGACTTATTTAGATAGAGGATTTTAGAAAAGGGTATCCCAGGTAGAGGCAGAGAAGGTTTGCTGAACAGCAGGAGGTTTCTGATGAATGCCCCAAAGAAGAACAGAGAAAGGGAGTTGGGGTCAGACTGAGAAAGGCCTGTCGGACAGGAAGATATTCAGTGGTGGAGATGGCCAGTGTGTTGGTCAGCTTTGTATTCGTGTGTTCAAAACATCTGATAAGAATAACTTAGAGGAGGGAAAGTTTACTTTGTCTTATGGTTTCAGAGATTTAGACCACGATCACTGAATTCATAACTTTGTGTTCAAGGTGGGACAGAACATTATGGTGGAAGGGCATGGTAGAGAGAAGCTGCTTGACTCATGGTGGCAGGAAGCAGAGAGAGAGCAGAAGGGGCCACAGGGAAGATGCACCCTTCTAGGGCATGTTCCCAGTGACCCACACTCTCCAGCCACATCCCACCTGCCTACAGTTACCACCCACCTAGTCCACTTAAACTAGGATGGACTGATCAGGTTCCAGCTCTCATAATCTAATCATTTCACCTCCTGCATTAACACAGGAGCTTGTGGGAGAGACACTTCATATCTAAACCATAACAGCTGGTATCTTTAGCAATACTGCTCAGGACTGTCCAAAGTTTGTAGAGAGCAATGAGTTCATGATTTGCCCTGAGTAGAAGGAGAAGCAGCGGGAGTTACCCATGTGGATGTCAGAAGTCAGCTGTTGTGTCCAATAGCCCTCCATCCTGATCACATGCTAGAAGTTCCAGCATGCCTCAATTTATCAATGAATTTTCCATTATGGGACACTCCTGAATAAGGCACTAGGGAACTTTCAGGAGGGTAAGTAACCCTGGCCAGACAATATGGGGCTTGTAGTATAGAGAGGGCAGGGAGAGTCTACCGGGAAGCCGCTTTTTGGAACTCCATGTTCCTGGAGGTCTTTCTGCATATTATTGACTTAATATCTGTTTCTAATAAGTCTAGCCATGGCCACTGAGAAAGAATCTTGGGGTCCTCTTGTTTTCCAATTCCTATTTCCCCACCAAAGGTAAGTACTTTATGAGTTCAGTGGTAAGAAAAGTCACTATGGCCAGATAAATTGCCACCAAAGCTCTCAGAGGCTAGAAAGATGCTTGAAGTTTCCAGAGATGGAGACAATCAGAGAGGGCAGGGCAGGCAGGGCAGCATGACTTCTAGCAGGATGACAAGTGTGCAGGCAGAAGAGGGAAGGCTTGGTGGGGTCAAGGAGCAGAAATACTTCTTTGGAGTGAAGTGAAAGGAGCCCAGGCACCCAGGCACCCAGAGCACGCGTGTGCCAGCACTTTTCTACACTATGTGGTGGTCCTGTTAGGAAGGCATGATATTTTTGCTTTACAGTTGAAGAAACTGATGTTGAAAGAGATTAGGGATTTGCTCAAGGTAAAGTCCCTCTAGCTCTAAAGCCACCTTCCACTCGCCCACACTGCTTGTGAGTGAGTCCTGGGATGGTGGCTGGACATAGAAGCAGGCCTGGGGAAGAGTAGAAGCACCAGCCTTTGCAGCGGGAGCCAGTTATTTCTGCTACTACTGGTGATGCTAACAATGCTGAAGCCATCTAGCATTTGTTTTTCACTTGCTGTGTTTGTGTATTGTCCTAGGCAATTTCCATAACTGGTCTCATTCCATCTCTGTTCTGTGCCTTTGAAGACATATGGAGGGTCCCTGACTTAATGTTGGTTTGACCTACAGATTTTCAATTTGCTGTGGTATTAAAACAATAGATATTCTATAGGATCCATACTTCAAATTTTGATTTTTGATCATGTCTCTGGATAGCAACATCTGGTAATACCCTCTCTGCTGAGAAGCAACGAACTGCATCTCCAGCCAATTACACAATCATAAGAGCGAACAACTGAGAAATCATGATGTACTGTGTTATCAGTGTTTTGGGGTACAGGTATTCAATATTCAACACTTTGTTCTAAAATGAGTTTTGTGTTAGATGATTTTGC